TTGATGTGTTACAAGCTGGAAAAATGGGCATTGTGAGGATTTCCGAGACTTTGACAAGGGCCACATTGTGATGGTTAGACGTCCGACTGGGTCAGATCTCCAAAACTGCAGCTCTTGTGGGGTGTTCCCGGTCTGCAGTGGTGTACCAACATATGACACACCAGGGTGCCCAGGTGGTCATAATGTTATGGCTGATCTGTGTATGTCTTAAAGGAAGAAAGAGTCTGACCCTAATGATGTGTTGTTTTAGCTATGTTCCTTATATGAGAATTTCCTGCCTGTGGTGTAACATACTGTCATAATGTGGTCAGGTGAACACCCAAGTTTTTTTTTGCTAGAACCTGTTACTTCTTGTTGGTCGTCATCTACATAGCAGTAAAAATGTTATTGTGGCTGAAGACCCAAATGAAGCAGAGCACATTGCATATTAAAGCCCATAGTAGAATTTGTATTTACAGTAAATCCAGAAGTGTGATTGTAGTCCTACCGAAAGTACAGAGGATATCTTTCTGGCGAGGGAAGGGTTAATCTGCATTGCGTGGCCTATAGTCCACCCTTGCAGGTCAAATATGGCCTTCAGACCCCGCCTCTGTGTCTCTGTCTCCGTGGAGATGATCTCTGATGTCATCAGGCTGACCCTGAACACCTGGAAAGCCGACCAGTCTTTTGGGTTCCACTGCCCTGCAGACAGACAGTTGGGGTCATGTTTCAGTAGTTTCATGGACTACAAAATAAACATTTAAAGGTTATATACATACACAAAATTTGCCACTAGATGACGTACTAGAAACACCAGCATCTGAGACCAAAACAATGGGCGCTACGGCCTACCAGACTCCAACAGATAGTCGTAAAACACACAGTTTCAGTTGTTTTACTCAGTTGCACAGGGAGCAGACCGGCTATGGAAACAAACCAGAGTCTGTGATAACACAGGCAGAGGCAGAGTGACGTCATTCTCTGACGCTGTACTATAAATCAAAACCTATGCCGTAGTTATCTATAGTGGGAAATTTCCTTTCATCTACTATGAAACATTATATTAAAGCCGCTTTAAAAAACACATCATATGTGTCATAGAATAGATACATTATAAAAGACTGGGAATTATGTGGTACTGAAATGTGGAGTTTGAGCGTTTTTCTCTTTTTTTTTTTTTTTACCGTTTTTGAGTTCAGGATTTTTTGGGTGGGCTGAAAGAATGGCTTGATGACATACTGGAGCCACCCTAAGAATAACCACGCCCCCTAACGCTGCAACAATATAAAAACATACTGCGTGCTAACATCGGTGGTTCTCATTACAACCGTTTCTTTACCACAGCCTTTAGCTAGACCAGCTAGCTAGCAAGTTCCATTAAATGTCGTAGTAACAGTAACAGTGAACCAACATGCACAATAGCAGGACTTCTCCAAAGTGATGACAAGACAACTCAAACAGCACACAAGATCAATGATTACTCTTTGTATTAATATTTTGTTTTAAACCATTAAGGACTTATATATCTGGAAAACCTTCCCAGTGCCTAGAGGAGATATGTTTGTAGACTTGATGTCATCCCAATGTAAAGTCTATGGAATGAAACACTAAATCACATGTGCAGTCAGCCAGGCAAACCAGAAACAGAAAAAGCTTTTTTGACTTATACACTGGGCAAGCACATCTCATTTTAATGAATGGGCAACCTCTATCCAGTCGTATAAATCATTTGGAGCTGTGTCCACCTGATGAATGTAAATCCAATATTCACTCTCCTTTTAACTCTGCTTAATGCTCCAATGTTCACCAGATAGTCTCCAATTGTTTCTGTTTGCCATTTGGTGCTGAGCAGGTTGTGCCAAACATTGGCACTATATAGGGGATTTTGCGTTTGTAGCGGCCACCATAGTTTCTCCTACACGCTTGGAAGGCTAAGCTGTATTCATTTGGATGCAATATGCAACTACACCACTAGATGTTGCTAAATCCTACACACAGGTTCTTTAAAATTCATTAAACAAGCTACTTCAAGTAAAGCACTATTATGTGGCGACACACAAACCACACTGGCTAGTATCAGTATATCAACTGCAAGTTTTGTGTTAAACATTAACGGCTGGCAGGGGGGGTCACAATCGCTTGGGCCTTTTCGAATGTAGGCATGAGATAGCTAGTCGCAAGAGTTTTGCTAACTAGATAGAAATAGCCAGCCTTCTCTCTGATGGTCTTGTAGGTCAATAATGTGGTCATAATGTGCAAAAAAAATCATAATAAAATGCACCAAATTATGTAGTCTCGATAAGTATCAGTATCAACGTTGGTATCAATAAAATCCCAATGATACCCATCCATCCCTATTTACATGTGGCGTTATAAAGCTTAAAGGGACAATGTGTAGTATTTTAAGTATTTTATTTGCTAAAATCAATGTCTTCATTCATAAATGTGTCCTCATTGGTGTCAAATTACCTCTGCCAATGATCTGACTTATCCTCGTAAGGGAAGAATTTCTTTCTGCTACTATCACACTCTGGACGGGCAAGCTCCATTGGAGGCCTTTCATGTCGTTCCGCCATTTGAAGAACGTACAAATCGTCGAGAGGGACATACAGCACTAGCCTACCATGTCTAGCTAACAACGCGTTTCGTTCAGAGCCAGCGATCACGGGTGACTGGAAACCAGCTATCGTTATAATGGAGAAGGAAGGATCAGGTGGGGAGGAGGCGGCTTGTCACTGCCTGGCACATTTGGAAAAAGGGGTCTGCCCACTGCACTTAGTTTATAATGGGAGGATCATTACTTATGCCGAGGCCACAGGACAAGGAATTATCGGGGGTCGGGGAAGAAGCGGAAAAAGGGAATTTAAAAAGGCATCGTACCGGCGTATTCAGAAACGAGGGGTCAACATCGGGCCGCTCTTTTTTCCCACCGGGGTGCGGGAAAGAGGCTAATGGGAAGGAGAAAGACTTGAAAGCGGACGGCTGGAAGTTGCCTGTTTCTCCATCGACCAAGTCGTTAAGTCAATGTTACGGTCTAAATTACAAGGTTTGTTTTATTTCTCCTCCCTTTCGCTTCTCCCTGTCCCTTTCCTTCCTCGCCCTACCGTTGGAATCACCTGATGATCATCTAACAATGCAACGCTATATCGAAACAATAAAAAAAGAATGTATCACTACTAATTTAGCACTTAGTTCGGATGCTTTTTACAGTCTGTGATTCATACTGTAACATTCGTTTGGTTCGTTGTGTTCAAGTTGTTAGCTAACCCTGGCATTGACATAGGGCTAGTAATGGCCAGGCCTACCAAAAAAGAACAACATATAACAGGAACATAATTCTACTTTATTCTTGCGTCGAGGGTTCAATTACTATTATAAAATGCCCTCACATAATGATTTCATGCAGTTTGTAGTTTGGTTTGAAATAACGAACCTCATCACCCGGAAAGACAACTCGGCATGAAGTGTCAATTGGGAAGACCATGTTTGCTGTATAGGCTTTCTTCGTTACATAATGTGCTACCTGTTTCAGTTGCAATACACATTTTGAAAACGCGAGGCGCTAGAGAGCACTATTCACCGCTAGATGGGAGAAATTCCTATACATTGTCCCTTTAAAAGAAACAAAAACAGGCACGCATCTGTTCAATGCAGCATTACATCATCAAGAAATTCTTAATTTTTACAAGGTTTCAGATGTTTGCACGCTTTCAATGACCATACACACACACACACACACGTATACTGACCTATCCTGTAGATGAGCACCCTGCTGCCCGTGTGGTCCCGCTGTGGGAGGACAGCATGGTACGACGTGTTGAGGAGGCCGAGCACCGAAGAGGGAGACAGACAGGTGCTGATCTCGGGACTTTCCCTCCGCCACCGCTGGTAGTTCAGTAAGAGCTGCACAGGACATATGCAATGCTCAGGGACATCGGCAACTTCATAGGATTCTACTTTATCTATCATCACCTGTGACTGCAGCTGAAATGCCGTACAGTACAGTACAAGTACAGTAATAAAAGCACATTCAAAGAACTATGTGAGTGGTAAAAGTCAGAGTCAGTCTGTTTGTTTTGAGTCACTAGCACAGTGCTGAGCTTAGACCCACTTGGCTGAGCTTCAGCTGCATTCAGATGAAAACAAGCAACTCAGTCTTCATGCTGAGCTCTGAATTCAACATGTTGTACAAGAGCTGTGTGTGGATGCTGACACTGACAACAAATGAAAGCCTAGTGATTTTACAATACATAAAACAAAGTATACTGTAGTGATAATACAGCAAAAACACTCTAATGTATGATTAAGTAAACTGTAAACTCCGGATTGCGTACAGCAGACACTGTACACCCATTTAGGAATATAGTTGTACTATAAATACTTCACTAAAAATAAAACTGTTTATTGATTCTAATGCCACCTTTAGATATTTCTATCCAATGCTTCACTGATGTGTTTGAGTTCAAACTTCGAACACTGAGGTGCAAGAAAGTTCGCTATGGAAAAAGCCTGAGTGTGTAACCTGTCATGTATTATTTATTTGATTGTTTGTTTTTCTTTGTGGATTTGTTAATTGTGGATGGTGTGTTTCTTTGTTGAGTGTATGGTGTTGGTATGGTGCAGTGATGTGGACATGAGTTTCTCCCTTGGAGGACAATAAATTGATTTGATTGAGTGAATTGATTGATTTGGGGGATTTTCAAATATTGATTGTCTGTGATTAAATCAGCAGATATTTCTGCCCCCCATTAAAGTCTCCATGCCACCCTCCGGACACGGCGAGGAATATTTCTCTAGATCCGCCCCTGTTGTGTATCAACCTTTGATATTTGTTCATATAAAAGTCAACACTATATTTTAAGCCAGTAAAAAATGTACCAGGACAGAACTTTTTTCACAGCAGACTAACAGCGGTCTAATCAGTGAAAGCACCGGTGGGACTGTGCAGGGCCTTTGAGGTATTTGGACTTTAAACCTTTATTATTATTGGATGGATAAGTAGGATCATGCCACACATCTAGGGCTCTAGGTTTATCCAATGTGGCTTATTAGATATTCCAACAGACAGGAATTTCATTCAAAGATATCCGTTTGGTTTTTAGCAGTTCAGACCACTGGTTGACTCAGTGCTGGTCCTGATGCAAGGAGCTCAGGCAAAACCGCACAGGGTCGCCTGGAAAAAAAAGGTCTGTTGAAAAAGATCTGCTGCATGTAAATAACATTGATAATATGATCTTAAAATATCAGAAGTTAAAGTACTCAATGCAGCAAAGTGGCCTGTGAGTGTGGATTATTGTGTGATTATACTGATGCATTAATGTTTAAGAAGCAATTTACTGTTGTAGCTGGTCCAAGAGGCGTTCATTTTAAAGCTTTTATATATGGGATTTATAACATTAATGTAGCAGCAAAATATTAGCTATGTAAAGATACAGGGTTTATTTGAACCTTGGACAGTTTTGTGAGTTTTGTCTGCATCCAGTTTGAAACGTTTGTTATGATGATGTTATGATGAAGTTAAATTGCTGGTTTTGTCAATGGAGTCTGGTGTTGTAGTGCCACATCTAGTGTCAAGTGAATTCCATATATAACGTTGAAGCATTTTATATACTGCTGGGTTAATCTATGACAATGCATTACATCATAGAAGTTCATCATATTGTTTAATGTAAAACTGTAATTTAATTTGTAACGTAACAACAAACTAAAGCTGTTGACTTATACACAAGTAACAAAAGGCACTAACGCACTTCTAGTAATGCTACAGAGAAATGCACTGTGTAAAAACAGCCTCCATAAACTTTCATTTAAGTGCAACAGTTCCTCGCATTGACTATGAGCTGTCAGGCTGGTGGAGTGATTTGTTGAGGAACTCCTGGAGGGAGTTAACTCACCTTCAGAGAGAGGTCCACGTCGAAGTCTCTGGCCCGCAGAAACTTGATGAGAAAGCCGTCGGAGAACGTCAGGACAGCGGACAGTTCGCTGGCCTCCAGGGCTCTCCGCCGCAGGCCGTCAACAACCGGGCCGAGCTGCTCCGAGTCGTCCGGGAGTTCACTGAGCTGAGGCCCGTTCATGTCGCTTCAAGGTCCGGTTACATTTCACTGCCAGCGGGCGCCTGCGCTGCGAGGCGGAGAGGGTGCAATGACGGAGGGCCGTGGCGTGGTGCTCGTGGGCAAGAGATAGAGAGAGAGAAGAGAGAGAGAGAGAGAAGAGAGATAGAAGAGAGAAGAAGAGAGAGCTCCGTTAAACCACTGACTGATTATATTAGTGAGTATGTACAGTGGGAAACATACAGTATATAAACAGTAAGGGCTACATATGAATATATTCAGAATATATTCAGACAGTGTGCTTTGATTATGCTATCAGGGGCTGATCTACAGGGGTGCAAACCAAATGCACCAAATGTCAAATGCTGTCAAATTTAAAACATTGATTGAGATTAAATAAAAAAGCACAATAATAACAATAACACTATTAATAATCATAATAATAATAATAATAATAACAATAACAGGACGACGGCACGGTGACACCCGCGATCCACAATCACCTTTTACTTCAGTTGTTCAGGTAATCAATACACTTAACAACTGCAACGTTCAAACAGTCCACAAAATGCTCCAACAGCTCCCCCTGATGGTCACCAGCAGCTACTGCACACACACTGGTACAGGGTCAAAATGAATCCAGTATTGCATCTGTGCTATAATGACCTGACGCCAGGTAAGATTTGAACCCAGGGTTTTTTAGTGTGACTAGCCATTACTTCCATCTCTATCTAGTAGTTTGCACTGTCTGTGGCGGAGTCCGCCATTTGTGCACTGAACCATCTAGGGGGCGCCACAATGGGGGAAGAAAAAAAAAAACAA